TTTGTGTTACCTTGTGATGTGGTTGCTGCTGAGTTCATGATATTCTTTGACAAGCTATGTACTTCTGATGCAATTTCCATGTTAGCTTTGTGGTGTGGTTGATAAGATGCCAGATACACACGTTGTTCCTAAAACCATTTAAATATTGTTTATTGGACATCAGAAAAGCATCTAGTCCTCAAAGTTAATAGAATTACTTGTAATACAAATACATTACTGCTAAAAGCTATTGCTGACTCTAGCATAGGTGTTTGTGGGTTTGCATGTGATAGAAAGTGAGAATATGTGGGTCCAGTGGAGAATAACAAGGACTTGATCGTCTTTCAGTCAAGTTTTTGGAAGATTGGAAGACAATCAAGTCCTCTGTGGAAAATCCTAAGCAGGTGGGTTTGTGATGTGAGGACTGGAAAGGGAACAGTTAAGAAGCAATTATGTAGGAATCTTTAATTATTAGAAAAACTGTCACCATGGAAGATGAAAAAGGCTGTCTTCTCCTTTGTTTCATGTTACTGAAGAAGGCAGTTTTGAAGACACAGTAGGCAAACAACAGTATGTGCTCTTTGACAGTATAGCCAAATGGATTCTATCTGTAAGCAAAGGATGGATGGCCATTGGGTGCTATAGCAACAGATTGCCTTCATGGAAAGAAGGCTGGCTTTGAGGTCGGTGCCACTGATGTGATTTTTCAAGTGTGGATCTGTTTGGCTGATAGGACTCAATTGTTTAGGAAAATGCTTCTTGGAGTTGGGAAGTGTCCAGCTCTCTGCTTTTGAACAGGTCTCTGCTCTAATAAGCAACCACATAAGGTCATTGCTGGGGAATTGGCCATGTCACACTATGGTTATTATTCATCTCTCATCTTTCCATCACCTAACTAGAAAACCACCAGAATCTTTACATGTTGTAGGCCTTGGTAACAAAAGGATCTTATCTCAGTTGCAGAGTGTATGTTTGATGTATATTGTAAACTACGCCTGCAGTCTCTATAGTAAAAGATATCCAGAATTGTCTTGAAGAGCCCTCTGTGGGCCCACCTACCAAATGAGTTGAGGTAGGGGTGAATGAACTCTGTGGCATTCACAGATGCACGGAGTTCAATTGCCCTACTATCTACCAACGGCACTTAACATGACATTCTCTCACATAAAAAAAGTTGTGAGAAGCTCTGGAGCTTCTCTGCACTTTGTGGCATGTGAACAGTTGAGCTGCTTCCTATTTGGAAATGGTTGTGGCTGTTCCCAAGGCCATCTCTCTTTCCCCAGGCTCAGGCAGCTCAGGGACAGGAAATGGCACTTACCATCCCCCATATATCATTGGCTGTCAGGGATCATAGTTGGTCACATCTACTGATGCTGGATGAAGTGCCAAAGCAATCAGAGAAAGGAGTGGGGAATGGGGGGGGGGGGGTTCTTCCCTCTTACCTTTCCTGCATCATTTCAGCACTCCAACCTCACAATGTGGACACTTGCCGATGCTGAATCAGCTTAGTAGCTGGCCGTGAGAACTGCCGTACCACTGATCCATGTACCTCACTGACATATGTGGTCTGTGTAGATGGGCTCCTGGTCAGACTGGGAAGTTCTAGGTATGTAGTACAAAAACGTTACATTTCCAAGGCATAGAATAAACAGTAATGACGAGAGACAAAGCCTTTTTGGTAGTGGCCCTGCAGCAGTGGAACTCCCTCCCCGGTGACATCAGAACAGCCCCCTCGCTCTTAAGCTTCAAGAAGAATCTTAATACCTGGATATTTAAGCAAGCCTTTGGGGATTAATATGACCCATAAGTATGATGGAAGAATGGCAAAGCCATTAGTTCAATATTTACAAAGCTCGGTTTGTGCTAGACTTTTCATATGTTTTAATCGTTCAAAAGACTATTTCAATTGATATGTATATATTTTTACAGTTGTATAAAATTGTGTTTCACTAATATTGTTATTGTTTGAATCTGACATTGAATTATTGCCATAGTTTGTAAGCCGCCCTGAGTCCCCCTTCAGGGGTGAGAAGGGCGGGGTATAAGTACAGTAAATAAATAATAAATAAAATAATGGGATAGAAAGAGCATCAGACTGAATTAGTATAAAGCAGATTCATGTTTTAAAAGCAATAACACAAGACTGGTGCTGTGGAAAAAGAAAGTTGGCAGGTGAGTGAACTGAGACAATGTGCCAAAACAAGCAGAAGGGAGAAGAGTTTATGATTAACAACTGGTGGGCCAGATGGCAGTCTTTTATATCTAGATTTAGTCTGGAGTGCTGCTAGTTGCTGCCACTATATTTATGGAAGCAGCTAGGGTGGATTAATCATTAGACTAATAATTAGGCTAAGTATGCTGTGGAGCAGGTTAACACCTGTATGTGAAGGAGTAACGCTGGTTCTTTTTTAGTTATTCATAACCCAGATTACGCTAACTGCTTTGTTATAAACTAACAGTGGCCACATTCCCAATTGTATGTAAAAAATTTGCATCCTTATATAGCCATTTTATCTTAGGTTACTACAACAAAGAATCTTGTGGTTTCAATAATAACTACTCATATGGAAATGGTTATGTGAAGTCATTTACTTATTCTTACATATAGCGTCTCATTGCAGTCTCATAGTTGATATAATACCGCTCTCAAATGCCTTAAAATCAGAAAACAGAAAAAAAAACCTTTAATCTAATGGGTGTAATGTATGTTCTGAAATAGAAATAGTCACATGCAAATCTGAGGAAGAAAATACCAAAAATACCTGAATGGTCTTTTGGAATGGAGAAGCATTGACACATTTTGTATTTGAGGCTACAATGCATATACAGGCTACCTACATTCCTGTGTGCATAGAAGCTTCAAGTTCTTTCAACCAGAGTGCTTCTTGGATATTTATTTCAAGGTTCCTTGGCAGTCTTTGTTACTGTATATTTTGTGCCATTGTATTGTATTTCTTATTTTAAAAAATCCTACCTGCTAAAAATTGAGAGCTTAGAAATAACTTCCAAGTTTTTCCACAGATAGATAGAATTGTGTTTCTTACCAAAGTTATGGACCACAAGATGCACACTGAATTGGACATGATTTTATTTAGGCAAATTGGCTTATATGTATTTTACTCTATTTGTATTTTCATTCACTGTTGATGTTTGTTGTTAGAGTGTTTTGATTTTAGACTGTACTGTTACCATTGAATCCTTGCTGTTAGCCAGTCTGAGTCCCTCTACGGGGATAGAGAAGATCAGGATATAAAAGTTTTAAATAAATCAATACTAAGAAAGATGCTGTAATGTGTACATATGTGTTGTTCAGCTTATTTTCTAAACCATTGTTTCTCAAACTGTCCTCCAGGTGTTTTAGACTTCAGCTCCCAGAAATCCCAGCCAGTTTAGCAGCTGTTAGGAATTATATAGTGATTTTATTACTTGACTCAGAAGACTGCAGTTTCCACTCTGTCCCATCACATTATAGTTTGCCAACAAAGATTCAAAAAACATCATCAGATCTTGATGAAATACTGTTAATTGGGGAAAGGCCAGTGTGGTCTGGTAATTTGAACACTGAACCAGTACTTTGGAAGACTTGGGTTCAACACCCTGCTCAGGCTATGCAATGACAAACCTCCTTTGAATGAATTGTTCCAAGAATATCCTATAATAGTGTTGTCATAAGTGAGACTCAATCTGAAGGCACATTACACAATAGGGAGTTGATTGGATGGTCCTGGTTCAGATATCACAGCTATGGTTTGAGAGCACATCTCAAAGACCTTAATATTCTAGACATTAGTATTAAAGAATTGTCGTAAAGCAGGCCTGCATAACATATGGCCTGGGGGGAAGAGATATAGTCCTCACAAGGATTTTGTGTGCTCCACAAAGGCTCTGAGCCTAAGCCTTAGAGAGGGAGGTCTCATGTAGCATTACAGCAGAGCAGCAATCAGAACCCACCATTCCCTCCTCCAAGTGCTTTACTGTTACACATTTCCTTTATATAAGTTACCAAACTATCACAAATAATTATCTAAAAACATAGCTGGATTGTTAATGTGCCACTTAAGAGTCTCTTTTAAGAGAGAAAAAATGGCATATAAAGCACATGAATGAATAAATACTGTATTTAGAATATAACAAATCACTCATCCTCCATTAGTTTTGTGATTGATATTTTCTAGAGGTAGAAAATAAAAGGATCCATCCATTCACCAGTTCACCTATGTGGAAATTTGCAGACTTGCAGTATGGAGGTTCTAGTTGCCTGAAAAGCTATTAAAATGTCCAGGCAAACTGCTAAATATTTTGTACTTAGTGCTATAAGTTAAAGATTAGTAACATAAGTTGGGTGTAGTTTATAATGGTGGTCATAACAGAAGCTTAGGTCAATTGACATAGTGTAATGGAGAAGACTGTTCCTTCACTTTGTCACTCAGAAAGATATGCGGAATTGATATAGGTTGTCCATGGCATTGCCTTCTGTAACACTACAGTTTTTCCGATACTTATAAGGACACAGTATTTTATTTTGCATCCGTCTTCTGTGACCTGTCATTCTGTACCATAGTAAAATGCAGACCTTGAGTATAAATTGAAGTGAATCATTCTATTACTTTAAAAGATGGCATTTCAGAACAACCTTTTTGCCCAGCTAAGCATCAATTTTTGAAGAATAACCTTTGGCAACCACAGCGCCCTATGGGGAAGTAATTTTTCATAAGAATCAGTCCTGTAATCATCATTTATATAATTAATATACCAAATTATAGCTTCTCTGTATTAAATCTCTTCCCTATGACAAAAAAGTTGCTTAACGTTTCATTCTTCTTTCTCTTGGTCGCTATAGCCAACAGTGTAGGCTCAGTATGACCGTGGCTTAGACTCATTTGTTGGTCACTCTGTTTCATTGTTCTTGTATGTACATGACCTTGAAGAAGCATTTTCTGCAGTGAATTTGCATTGCTACACAAATGTGGAAAACAAGCTATTATTTCATAATTTTACAGTGTTTCTTCTTTCCTTCAAAGGACACCATGGTTTAATGGATGGGGCTTTAACTTACCCAGAGGTCAATCTTTATTGGACAAATGGAATCTTATTCCTGAAGGCATTGACATTTTAATGACACATGGACCTCCTCTTGGTAAGTGACACAACAAACGGATTAAGTTCAGGTATCTTAAGCAGAGAGTGTTGTCAGTGCCTGTTTTGATTTGGTTATGAGGGGGCAGTTGGAGCTATATATACCCCAAAAGTTTGCAAGATAAAGACAAGTTGGTCATCTGACTGTTCTACAATGTGCAATTGTATCTTCAACTAGCATCATTAAACACTTTGCAGTTAAACTTGTTTCAGGCATCCTATACTTCTGCTGTTCGGCAATAACAACCCTTTGGAAACTAATTAGGATTCTAGTTTGAATATAGCCTTGTAGAAATATAATTCAGTTTTGCAGAAGTTTTTTTTTTTTTACTTTAGGTTCTGAATCTGTGTACCAAACATTATGTGCAACATATGAACTGTAGTGCGATCCATGAGGGGTCAGAAATGCAGTATTTATTAGTACTCTTTGTACCTATCAAGCCTCCTGGTAATGTTTAATTACACCTCCTATCATCCTTCGCCGTTGGCCAGGCTCGCTGGACTGATGGGAATCAGATTCCATTCAGCCTGGGGAGGCCATTGGTTCCCCTGTATTCCTTTATGCATTCCAGCATTTGCATTGGAGTTGACTTTCTCTAGTTTTCTTCTGCATTGCTGTTGTAACATTTACATGTTCAGTACCAGGTAGGTGAGGCCAAATGTGCAGGCTCTTCCAGTTTATTTTTCATGGTAACAATGAGGCTAGAAACCCACTCTATTGTTTTTGTTTTCTGGGGATGAATTAACAGAAAACATTTTTTTTTCTCTCCCCATCCATTCCAGTACTGGAGCTGCAAAATATGAAATACGCTTTTTCAACATGTTACTACTCCCTACAACAAAAATTGTTGAAAATTCCTCCTCTTGTCAACCTGTGTCAGGCCCATTATCCATTTCCTGAACAAGACACAGTTGTGACTGCCACCGCTATTTTAGGATCTCTCCCCCCCCCCCAAATTTGGTTCCCTTCCCTACTTCTCTTCTCCAGGCAGCAAGGCACTCCCATATAATCTTCTCCGTTATCGTTTTATTCTCCAATGTTGCTTTCCATCAGGAAGAGGCAACAGCAAGCCTACAACATCTGAGTGATTCTCACGGCTGGCTGAAATTTGGTCAGGGACTTCTTACTTTGATACAGAGTTTTAATTATGTATTAAAATACAGTGGATGGCATGCTTTCTAACTTTATGCTTGCCTTCACTTAATATTTGAACACATTAATAGGAGGATGTTTCAGAAGTCTTACCAGGATATTGGATTCAATTTGTTTTTTTTAATTTGGATTGTGAATCACATTGCTGCATATAATTACCAAATTATTTCTTATCCCCCACATACCAGACCTTAACCTGTGTGGCTGAAAATTATGCTACAATTTCTTCTTTTTAACATTGTACTTTACATAAGAAGTGAATGACATGAAGCAGCTGAATGAATGTCCCACTGTGCTGAAATAGCATCGGCCAAATTTGTTCCTGGTGTAACGTCTTTGAAGTTGATTAAGTAACACCAAGGATGAATGTGCTGCTTCCATTCATATTTGATTTAGCTCTTCCCCCACTCAGATCTTTCTACCCTTCTGATCTTTATGCATGCAATATTCCCGACCGCAGACTTCTGTAATAATTGATGTCAGGTTTTATGGATTTTGTGCATTATATGTAGAACTTAGTGGCTTTTCTTTAAAAGTATTCAATTAATACTAACTCAGTGAGAATCATTTCATAGTTGCTCTGAATTCCTTCCTTAGTGGCCAGGTCTCAGACATAATGGTACTTTGGCAGACCTTGTTTCTGTGGAAGCTATGGGCTTGATTCAAGAGCTCCAATGAGTATGTAAGGTCCCATGAAAATACTTTTCTGTAATCTTCTGCATATAATCCCAATATATATATACAAAGCATAAAGACAGGAGAAAATCCCCTTCATTCCAGATATTCAGTATAAAAATAAGGCTTTGCAAGCTATGCACAAAATGTTATGGAAAGTGGGAACCCCCTTTATCTTCACTATCAAGGAACATATTTTACACACAATTTAACATGCTGACTGTTCCTCAAGACCAAGGATAAAGGAGGCATATTTTAATTCTTTATTGTGTTTACCTTGTGAGATTTATACTCTTTGGATTTTGACTATTTGGTATAGATGAGGCACTAGGCATAATGCTGTCCCATATGTGGAAAAAGTAACTATTACAAGCAATCTTACTTGACCAATCTCCAAAGGCAATTATGGAAAGACCAAGGGAGAGGGAAGGAGGGGGATGCACTGCTGCCGGGAATAAATGTCATAGAGCCTCATGTTATGTAGAAGATTCTATACCTGTAGTTTAATAAATCAAATTATGTAGAGAAAAATGTTAATTGGAATGGAGGGGGCAAATCTCACAGGGGAAAAAACCCAGAAACCTAAAATAGGCAAAGTGACAATGAAAAGTTTCTTAAAAGCCATTGAATGCTTTAATGGAGATGTTAGGGTTACAGATAATGCAATAAACCTTCTGTGAGTTATGATTTCCTGAAAGTCTACGTGAAACCTTACCTGAATAGAGAAAATTAAGAGTATTGATTACATTTTGCTTTTAGGTTTTCGAGACTGGGTTCCAAAAGAACTGCAAAGAGTTGGCTGCGTGGAACTGTTAAACACAGTACAAAGGCGAGTAAGACCAAAACTCCATGTCTTTGGTGGAATCCATGAAGGTAAGAAAGACATAACATTTGCTAAAGCAATGCAAGAGTTCAAACACAAGCCTAATTCACCAAGATGTTTGAGCCAACAATAGGCTATTAAACTCCAACCTCTATGGGCCTTGGGATGCTGGAAATTTCTTAGCCCTGCTCTTGCAGAACTTTGTGCTGGTATAAGGGATGTTTTCTTTGATCCGAAGGGGCTTGTAACTTACGAACTTCAGCTCCTCCCTTGGCCTTTCTCTGTGCCTTCTCCCCTCCGTTCTGCCAGCTGATCTTAAATCAGTGGAGCAATTGTGTGGGAGATGCTTCTGCTGTCTTATTTCTGAGATCAAATCACAGAAGATGGTTATGCTGGCATAAGGGCAGTTTAGCCATAAGAAGGCAAGTACAGGCAGTCCCCAAGTTATAAGTAAGATAGGTTCTATAGATACATTCTTAAGTTCAATTTATTTGTAGGTCGGAACAGGTCCAGCAAAAAGTGCACTCCTTGTAATTTGACCAAAAAAGGTGGACATTATAGTTGCTGTGATTAGAATCCCTTTTTTAAAATACACCAAAGCTTCTAAGCAGTTGAAAGGAAAACCATAGAAACAGATAACCCTTCCTCTCCTGTTTGTCCTGCCCCAGCTTCCTTGGGGTGTAATTATACTGTGGAATGAATGCAGTTTGACACCACTTGCCCTGGTTCCTTGCTATGGTATCCCGGGAACTGTAGTTTTACAAGGTCTTGAGCCTTCTCTGCCAAAGTATGCTGGTGCCTTCCCAAACTACAAATCCCAACATTGCACAGCATTGAGTCAGGGCAATTAAAAGTGATGTCAGACATGAAAGAAAGAAGAAGATCACAGGGAAGATGGAGATATTGATAGGAAGAAAAAGAAAAGAGGGTGGAGAGATCAATACGAAATAAAAAGGCAATGGGTTTGGTGTGGTCAATAGGATGAAAAGGGGAAAAGGGCTTGGGGAGATTGATAGGAAGATCAGGGACGGGGCTTGGAAAGATCAATAGGAAGAAAAGGGAACGGGGTTTGGAGAGATATCAATAGGAAGAACAAGGAAAGGGGGATGGAGAGATACAGACACATTTTGGCTCAGCGCTAAGATTTCATGGCAGGGAGGGAGGGATAACTATGAGTTGTGCACAAGTCAGAAGTCCGAACTTGGGATAGAAGAAGGGACATAAGGCATCTAATGTAGAGGTGTCAAACTTGTGGCCCTCCTGTTGCTTGGGACCCCAAAATCACTAGCCAGCTTCTCTAATAGTCAGGAATTCTAGGATCTTTGCTTCATGTAGCAGATTGTCTTGGATCAATACTGTATTACATGTTGTTTAAAATAAGCACTTATGGTCAAAGTTTGCATGATAAAATGGGCAAAGAATGTAGGTTGCCCTATAAAATTTGAGGAATGGGAGAAGATTTGGAATCATAAATTGAAATATGCATATGACTGTGATATGAAAGAGAACTGGTACAAAATGATGTACCAGTGATATATAACTCCACAAAAAAATAACAAAATACTACAAAAATGCAAAATAAATGTTGGAAATGTGAAACCCAAGAGGGCACATATATAATAGATGACATTGGGGCTATCCATCTGGACATTGAAGCAAGTTTTGTAGTCTTTCAGCCTCAAGCTGGAAGAAAACTTGTGATCATCTCTCAATCGATGAATGGAAAAACCTTGGTTTTGGGTTTTGCAGAAAAGCAAAGCAAACGTCTATTGGAAAGAAATTCAAGAAACAATTCAGAAAATACTCAAAGTGAAAATACAACTCAAACTAGAATACTTTTTTATTGGGAATGATAGATATGGATATCGGATTCCAAATAACATAATCCATACTTACAAGGAAAACAGCATAAACAAAATTAACAAGACAATATAAGCATTAAAAACCACAATAGCACATATATATTTAAAATAATCCTGCTTATTCAAGGCAATTTAAAAGGCCGGGCCGGTGCTAGTGCACTTTAAAGGGCCTGGGAAATTAGGTAGAGTCTATGGCTGTACATTTCCAGGGCCCAATAGAAGAAAGTAACCTGGGTAATTGGTAGAAAAAGTACCCCTCCCTCACCCACACCCCCTGTCCATTCCTGCTTATCTTTTTTATACCCACTCTTGTTTTTTAGTGATATTGCAAATATATATATATACTCTTAATAAAAATTATTCAAAAAGGTATGTATGATAATAAGGTTATTTAAAGCATTTTGAAAAATTTGACATAATTTATTATTGGTCCCAAGTTCTGAATTATTCAACTATAGACTTTATGAAAGAGTTGTTCTTGAACTCAGTTATTGCTCTCATAAACAGAATTATATCTTCAGCTTCAAACCCCCCCCCCCCCCCCCCACAGTCATTTTCTCTTGCAAAATCCCAGGAGTCTCTTGCTGAATCTTAGGGTTCCAGGAAACCCTGGTTGAGAAACTCAAATTTACAGCATTGGAAGAGAAAACTTGAATCAGTCTATCCTAGGGAGAATTGAATGCCAGTGCCAACATTGGACAATATAATAATAATTGGTAAAGTGTTAGACAAAAAGGGGGAAACTACATTAGAAATAGATCAAGACAATCAAAGAAGTCATGGTCCAGACTTTGCAAGACAGGACTCTTGGAGCTCTCTCATTCTTAAGGTTGCCATATTGCAGACTTGACAATTAATAACAGCCACAAAGAATCACAATTCTAGTAATACAGATGAAACACCTATGCTTGTTCAAGTCCTCATGTTATCCCTGTTTGTTCTTTCTGGTAGAAAAATAGTAAAGGAGATTGTAAATAAATAAATGTGTATGTATTTTGTCTGTCTGATTCAAAATGCCACCATGATTCACCCTAGGGCTTAAGATAAAAGCAGAATGCACTTTTTGTCCTGTCCACTGAACCCTGGCCAAGAAGGCTATGTGATCCTCAAATATAGAGAACATGTTTAAATGACCAAAGGACAATCAAAGAAAACAGGCCATCTATTATTTCTTTATGTGCAGCAAGTGAGTTCATTCTTCATAGATTTCCTATAGAAATTCAAGATGTGAACAACATCTCCCAAATACTAAATCACGTGAAGAAGGAGAGGGAAAAAAAGAATATTCTGGATTAAATTCCACATTATTAAATTCTTTTAATAGCTTGTAGACATTTCAAATGAGCTTTTCAAAACATCCTGCCATAATGCTAATTTCAAGTCAGGGAAATTTGTAGCACAATAAGCTTCCGTTGCTGGGCATGAGGTAATAAGAGATTACTTAAAATACATTCTGTAGGGGGTTTAAATATTTAATGAACTGCAGCTTTTATATCCTAGTGAGATAAATACAAGGAGTGCTGTCTGGGAGAAAAGAGCAAGACTTTGTGACCCTAGAACTAAAAATTACACATCTAAATGCTTTATATTTCACATCTCCCCCCACCCCACAGCGGTTCCTCTGCTGCCTCTAATTAAGCTCTCCATAGGCTCACAGTATTAGAGGACGTTGCAGACGAGGTGATGGCTCTTCCATGGTATTGTTGATTTTCCTCCAGTCCACATGACTGTAAAGCAAATAAGTTTTTATGCCTGGGTTGTAAAGTCTTGTAAACAAAAACTTTATAATGAAAAACGGCTGAGACTTCACCACGGCACCAGCCACACAAGTTCTCTTACGCATTTGTAGAGACATTGGATATTTGTGTATAAATATTAATGAACATATATCAATGCTAAAAAAAATACAGGAGGAAAAGAAGAGGAAAAAAGACTTTACTACAGAATGCAAATTGCCTGCAGTTTTCAACTTACGGTGCAAGTTGAAAGTAATCAAAACTTCCAGTGACATTAGTGTTAGGCTGATGGAATGCAAAAGATTCCTAGCATGGGAGATCATTATGAAAAACTACTGTGAGGCCCGATATTGTACAATTTGTTTACAACTAGGTTTTATGCTGTAAGTATAAAATGAATTTAATGAGCATTCAGAACTAAGATGATACAAATTCTACTCATATGGGTTGTCCCATCAGACACAAAGGAAAACTACTCATTAAAATAAGCCAAGTTAAGATTTGACCTAAATTATTCTTCTTAATGCTTAGATCAGATGAATCCATCTATCCTTTAAACAAAACAAACTGCTAAATGCTGAAGTGGGATTCGGCCTGTGGTAGATAAGGTTACACGTGACCTAAAGACACAGGTTTGCAGTTTGGGGGTACTCCTGGACTTGGAATTGAACCTGGAAGCCCAGGTTTCTGCAGTGGCTAGGAATGCCTTCACACATTTAAAACTTGTGTACCATTTGCGTACACTTATGTACTCAAACTGTCCTCCTCAAGATGTTTTGGACTTCAGTTCCCAGAATTCCTAATCGTTGGTAAAGTGGCTAAGATTTCTGGAAGCTAAGGTCCAAAACACCTGGAAGAGCAGAGTTTGAGAAACACTGGTCTAGATTATCAGAAAACCAAGGAATTATGGGGAAAGGGATAGGAGTGGAATGTGCTTTGTGTTCAGTTCTTTGGCTACAAACACTTCAAATAAATTGTATTTGAACAGCTGGCTCTTATTAAAGCAAAAAGGGTTATTGTGTTTTTTAAAAATGGAAATTATGTGGTGACATTCAGCTGCTCAGAGTACTTTGAAAGACTCAGCTGAACACAGTTCCCAAGGCTTGCTTACAAGAACTCTTTTCTTTCCGCCAGCCTGAGGCACTGTACTAGGTCAACATTGTTTGTCTGCATTATAGTAAGTGTAGTAAGTTTGTCTGCATTTTCCCTACAGGTTATGGCATTATGACAGACGGTTACACAACATACATTAATGCCTCAACATGTACAGTCAGCTTTCAACCAACCAACCCACCAATTATATTTGACCTTCCAACCCCGCAAGGATCATGAGGCACTGCTGCATTGGGAGGTCTATAAACTGCCATTTTTCTAATTAAAAAAATACGTTCTCCTAACATGTTTCTTTACAAACGATGTGGGTTTTTTTGTAAATTGTTGGTACAAAAGAAAAAAAATAGAGGTTGTGCTTTGGGGGGCGGGTGGGGTGGGATGCATCCATTTAAATTTTAAAACAAAACATTGTGAATTTGTAAAATGAAGTTTTATGTTTTATTATCTTGCCATTGTAAATTGTTAGTGTTCTCAAAGGACAGCCAAGCTTTCTTTTAATGAGTGAGACACCTTATTTTAATATTATTAAATAAAAATTTAAAAGGCAGTGTTTAGAAAAAAAAACACACCCAAATTTGCACAACTGTTATTGTTTGAATTTTTTTTTAAAAAAAAGTATTTCAAATGATAAAATGCTACACTCTCCTCTTCTTTCATTTTAAATATGACAAGACAAATAAACTCCATGACCTAGCATTTTGTGTGTTCCTGCACATGTGTGGGCCACAATCCAGCACAGAATGAGATATGTATAAACCTGATGGAAGAGATGGGATGTAACTGTAGAGCTCTAAAAGAGGATGTGGAATGGCCATTCGTTTTGATAGATTGTGGTCTATATTTGAGTATATATGCGCTCCCTCTGTTGAGAAGAATGGAGAATTCCTTCTTACGTACATCCATTGGAGCTCCTATCCCCACTGCCAATTGTTAGGTCAAGGGTTAATCAATTTGTCCACTAATATATATGCATTGCATACAGTATACTGCTAGCAGTAATGTATCACTGAAGGGGGGAAACAGCCTTCTAGATTTAGTTTGTCTCTGCCTGCTTTAATGACCAATTAGATAGTGGCATCTTGTATGCAATTATCTAAATCGTCAATGTTTGGGTGAATTTCTTAAATTATTTTAGCTTTAAAAAATACGGGGATGAAAGCTGCAATGAGCAGGTGTTCCATGCAGTAAAAACATGTAAATGTGGACTCCTTTTAAATATGGATTTATATATATATATATATATTGTGCATTATAACGAAGTGAGACATTTAATGTTGCCAGTGTAGCATCTGCAAGATTATGCTGTACAGCACGTCTAAATTATGACGAATGTGACATGTTTCTTGTCCAAGTGCTCAAGGCCTTCAAGAGCTTGAGTTTAAAATTTTTGTGCAGTTTCAAGCATGTATAGAATCAAACGAATACAATCAAGCCTAACTAAAATAAGGCTTTGTTGTCCTTTATATTTAAAATATTATTGAATTGTCTTTCCATTTCTTTCCCCTCCTTTTTTTTGCACTGTGTGTAAATGCAATCTTGCTAGCACAAAATATTGTTGCAAATAGATATTTCTGTTCTACCAGTGTAAATGCTATTGAGCTTTATTCTGTTTTATGTTATCTTCATGGACTTTAGGAAAGCAGCTGTTTCTTTAAATTTATTGCGATATTATATATCTAGCGGCCTTTATATGCAAATAAAATTGCAAGATTTTTAAATGCTTTTGTTTGGACAGTCTTTTTACTCCTTAGATTATTTACAGACTTTAAATCGATGACCTATTTAGCACATCCTTTCCTTGGTTTTAGACAGTTATTCTGCACCTAAAATAGCAGAGTTTCTAAGTAGCCTATAAGGTATGGTTGTCCAATCCTTCCAGTGGCTACTTTTGCCACATTTAAATATGAGGTTTGAATGAAAAGTAATGCCTCCACCTTCTTAACTCCTCAACAGATGGCAGTACTGGTATGCGGCAGGTACTGGCTTGTTCAGTAGACTCTCCTCTACAGTTCCATTTTGGCAGGAAGCCTTTACATTGTATGGTTGTGTTGTTAAAGTGCGAAGTATGGAACCCTGCGCAGACAGTCGGTCAATGCGACTTAAGCAACGTCCAGTCATTGAATTCTTGACAGTAGAAGGTGTCACCCCAAAGGAGATTCATTAGAGAATGCAAGCTGTTTATGGTGATTGTGTTGATGTGAGTACTGTGTGTCGTTGGGCAAGTAAGTTTAAAGATGTTGAGGTGGGAACATATGACTTGCAGGACAAACAAAGAGTTGGACATCCTGTGACAGCAACCACCGAGTTTCACAAGCGAAAGGTTGACAGATTGATTCAGGATGATCGTCGTATCACTCAGAGAGAAATTTCAAGCATAATCTGCATTTTACAAGAATGTGTGGGACACATTATTGCTTTGCTTGGCTATCGGAAGATCTGTGCATGATGGATTGCGGAAACAGAGTGTCAACTTCTTCCGTGACGGCTTCAGAAAACTTGTTCATTGTTGGCAGAAATGTATCCAATCTTCTGGTGATTATGTGGAAAAGTGAATAGTTGTAGTTAAAGAGCACATTTTAAGGATTATTTCTGCGTTTGATTTTTTAAAATACTCCCATCCAAACCCAAGTAACGAAGGTGGAGGCATTACTTTTTATTCAACACTTGTATGTTGCAGGCACAGTTCTGTAGTGTACCCAGAACAATGTACATGTAACTCAGCTTGAAACAGTGTTGTCTTGCCATTTCTTCTAAATTCCAGCTGTTGGTCCCTACTAGAATAGACTGGAACTTAACCAACTGGTACTTAATGTACATGTTGATCTATCACTGAGCAGTTGACTGCCAGCAGAGCTAACAATTGGATTTATCTCTTGTCATTTAAAGTGAGATTTGGTTTTTACCCCTCTACACACAAACATAAGCAACAACAGTTAGTAGGCAGGAAGCATCATGTGCAGCTCCCTGTGTGATTTTATAATCAAAGCTGATTACTAAGATTCTTTTTTTTTTACTTTCTTTTTTTAAAATAATTTTTATTGTTTCATAGTGTATGTAGAAAACAAAACAAATGAACAAAAGGAAAAAAAATAAAGAAAACATATGCAAAAAATTACAAAAGAGTCAATATTCAGTACTCATTAAACATATGTACAATCAGACTAAGATTCTTCATCAGAACTGTATAGCATAAATTTCTGTGTGGTGTTGGATATTGAATCTGCGGTCACTCCTTGTATTAAATGGCAGTGCAAGACCTATGATTCCTCTGTGTGCATAACAGCATTACTTCCACACTGAATGCAGACATAGATCAAGGAGAACTTGCAGGCTGCTTCTGCAGGGGATCTTGTTGATGAAGATGGATAAGACCCAATAGGATTCCAGTCACTGTGTACATATACAAATTTGTTGTGTTTCTTGCCCTATGATTTTGCAACTCCTTTCTTTGGGGAGACTACATGACAATACATGGGCAATTTGCATCCTTCGTTACGTTCCTCGAATGGAGGTGAGAAGACCGGTATACAAAACTACCAAATAAATAAATAAATAAATACATACATACATACATACATACATACATACATACATACATTCCTAAAGCAGTATGAAGCTGGTTTCATTTAATTGGTGTGGGCTTTTTTGCAATAGGCTTCTCTCCATACTCCCCAAAAATGGTTTTCTTGAGTTTGCTTTTTTTTTTCATGTCAGGAGCTACTTGAGAAACTGTAAGTCGCTTCTGGTGTGAGAGAATTGGCTGTCTGCAAGGACATTGCCCAGGGGATGCCTGGATGTGTCAATTTTTTTTTACCATCCTTGTGGGAGTTTTCTTTCATGTCCCCACATGGGGAGCCGGAGCTGACAGTGGGAGCTCATCCACACTCTCCCCGGATTCGAACCTTCGACCTGTCAGTCTTCATTCCTGCTGGCACAAGGGTTTAACCCATTACATCACCAAGGGCTTTGCTGATATTGACAGAGACAGGCTAGAAATGGAATTAATGAGCAAATAGGCTCACATATTTCTCTTCTATATGTGCTCTCTCCATTCTACTTTGTCACTGAGAAACCCACAAACATTTCTACATTTCAGTAATCTCAATTGGATAATAATGTGAATATGAAAGCTATTTTGCACCACCAGTCAGCTTTATTCTGGAAGGCTTATAATCAAATTTAAGGAAAACGATTTTCATAAAAATCACGAATAACTTTGCATTATGCAAGTGAAACCATGCACTATTTCCTCTCAGGCCTTTTTTTGTTATATGTTTTCCACCTGGAAATGACTGGAGGAGCATGAATTAAATAGGTTATTTGTAGCTACTTTCTGACACAGCTATTGATTTTTCATAGGTACTTTTAACTAGTTTGATAAATTTAAGAACTTTCCGAGATTTTCTATACCAACCTCTCAAAAATTACGCAGTTCCCAAGCACTCATGGGTTGCATTGATTTCAGTGGAACAGATTTAAGCCTGTACATATATTTAATTGTCTCACTGAACAGAGATAAACATTCTTAATTTGAGCTGGATTCCAGCCTTAATTTATTTCTCTTTGTGATCAATAGTTATTACACTAAGATTAACTTACTGCATGGAAAGCAGTAAGATACAATGCCATTCATCATTCTCCTAATTTAAAGAGGTTTTCTTGTCTTCTAATTGTGAATGTGAATCTGTCAAAGTGCAGTATGCTTAAATCCCCATATCAGTGGAAGAGGTTTAACCACATACTTAACTCTCCCATTGAAATTAGTGGAATATAAAAGGACTAAACTTTACCTTGCTCCATATATTCAATGTGGTGAGGAGCACAACCCTCCTCTCAAGCTTTCCATGTGGGTCAGTTAATTTGGGGTGGGTGTATGTGATCCAATTTTTGTGTAATCACCTGTCCATACAAAATGCTCAGTTCATACTGGAATCAGGGTAATAATAATAATAATAATAATAATAATAATAATAATAATAATAATTTATTTGCATACCGCTCTATCTCCCCTTTGGGACTCCAACTTAGGTCATGTATTGCAATTACTGACACAAAGACATACAGAATAATCATTAAAAAACAAAGATATCATACTATATACCAGACATACATATTTAAAATTAAAAGCCAGTTCAGTACTAATTTCCATCAGGCAAGTTCAGTTAGCAATGCCCAGAGTTCCAGAGTGGGCCTTGACAACTATGAAAGGGTTGGGCTAGCACAACAAAGTAGACTAGGGCCTGGGGAGTGGTAAGGTGCAAGCATGGTCCTGCTTGGTGGTCAGGATGGGACCTGGAGCTATTTATTTCCAAGGCCTGCTGCACAGGTATAAGAGGGCTGGGCCAATGGGAAACTTAGGGCTGGGGAAGTGGATAAAGTGCAGAACAGGGCCCTAACTAATGGCCCTAATTATTCATTACCGGGGCCGGCTGAATAACTATAAAAGGGCTGGACTAGGGTTAGTACAATGAGGTTGCAGAGGGCTGGAGAAGTGGGTAGAGTACATAGCGGGGACCTAACCAATGGCCAGGGCAGGACCTGGGGCTAATCATTTCCAAAAGCCTGCTGGAAAAGGGGCTGGTAAAGAAGGAAGGGCTATTTCAGTTAACCATATGACTGGAAATGGACCTTGATAGGATGCCATATATTTTAATTTGCTAAACCATGCAATACAATATGTTTTCTTTTTTAAAGCAGGAGAAAAGTTACCATTGTCATCAGGTCTGAATGGATTGTTTTTCTTTTCTGTCCTTTCTTAAAGCTGTAGAAGAAGGTCTCACATGACTATGCAAGAACCTCTAGCTGGAAGGAGCTCCAGTAGTCAGTCTTTTCAAGTGATTGATTAACCACACTGTAGTCAATTAACCTTTCCACTCTTGAGAGAGCAGCTTTCATCTAGTCATCTTGAAAAGGTTGAAAGCAGTCAAGGCCTTTATCAAATAAGGGCAGCAAAACAGGATGTTCCACCAAGGTGATTGGTTCCCCACTTCTCTGTGTCTAGTGAATTCAACAGACCTAGAGGTCAAGCATTTATTAGAGTAAGAGACTTTCAAATCAATCTGATCTACTCCAGGCAAATTCTACCAGGATTATGCCAACAGAGTGTCTAAAAGGCTGATTGATGAAACAACTAAGTTCTGGTTATCGCTAATGTATTCCTTACAACATTACCAAGGCTTAGGAAAGTTTTTTAAAACTTCAGTATTCATTATATCAGTAAATACAGAAATAAGTAACAGTTATGTAATAGATTTTGTAGAAGTTTTATACAGAGTTTTATACAAAAGCTACTTTCTAAGCCTTTATTAGTCGTTCAATATTTGATTGCAGTAGAGTTAAATTAACATCCTTGTTATCAATGTATCCATAACTCATATAGCTTTGTGAATCAGTTTTCTCACAAACCTTACAAGTAACACCTGAGTAAGAATGTTAACACTTTCCAAGTTTCCAATTTGGCTCTCACATACGCTGAGATTTTATATGTGTACACAGACACTCAAACATATGTTCTTAAAGCAACGATAAATTTCTACCATAGCTAATTTCCATTTGAGAAAAACTCAGAAGAGAGCACTGTAGACTGAGTTTATTATCCAAATATTTAGTGATTTCAATTATTGTGGTATCTTTAATTTAACCAATAATATGATTGCCATCATTTTTAACTCCCCCAAACTACACTGCTTCAGTTTTATTTTTCCTCTAAAGGTAACTG